TGAGACAAGCGAAACAAGGTTTGCGTCAACCGTTTGAACTGAAGAAATTTGGAATTTGATTTCGAATCCACACCTATAGGTGCACCATTATTTTTTCCAGATTCCATGTCACTATTCCAAAAAGAATAAAACTCACCGGTTGCTACCTTGGGTGGGACCTAGAAAGAGGAACAGATGGATTTAGACATGGATAAATTTGACGAAGTTTGCAAAGTTGTGCAATTTGCATCACTCGTTCTCATTCAATAAATTTGAAATGTGATTTGAAGTCCAGTCCAAGGATAAGTTAAAAGATGTAAACATTTCAGACGCCCTATGGAAGTCGGCCAAAAAGAAAAGGACACCTCATTAAAGTCCTCCATGACCTTAACAAACTCAATATCACTTGTATAAAATTTAGAAATTTGAAATTTAATTTCCAGTCTACACCCGTAACATTATAATTATTTCTTCTTCCAATTTTTAGAAAAAATTTTGTGCTGTGTATCTGTTAGGCTTTCTATTTTAATTAAGTGAAAACTTAATTTTGAATCTTATATTAATGTAAATGATTTAATTAAATTTATTATCTATGTATTAAAATTTTTTCATTTAAAATTTTTCTGAAATTTTTTTAAATCATTAATAAAATTAAATTTTTAATCAATTAGACTTAAACATTAAGATTTGAAAATAAGTCATTGAATCTATTCAAATTTTTTCATTTAAATTAAAAATATAAAATACTAAAATTTTTAAACAATAAGTTGAAAAATTGACATTTTCATAGTCAATAACGTGAAAAGCTGGCCATGGATTTTCCACACCTACCTGCACCATTATTTTTTCCAGCATTCCAGTTTACTGTTCCAAAAAGAAAAAAACTCACCTGTTACTACCTTGGGTGGGACCTAGGAAGGGGAACTAATGGATTTAGACATAGATAAATTTGACGAAGTTTGCAAAGTTGTGCAATTTGCATCATCGTTACCATTCAATAAATTTGAAATGTGATTTCGAGTCCGATCTAAGAATAAGTTAAAAGATGTAGATGTTTTAGACACCCTATGGAAGCCGGCCAAAAGGGAAAGGACACCTCATTAAAGTCCTCTACTATGACCTTAACAAGCTCTGTACCGCTTGTATAAAATTAAAAAATTTGAAATTTGATTTCGAGTTCACACCTATAGCTGTAACATTATAATTATTTTTTTGGCCAAATTTTGAAAAAATTTTGTCTAGTGTATCTGTTAGACTTTTTTTATTTCCATAAAGTGAAAACGTAATTTTGAGTCTTATATTATTGAAAATGATTTAATTAAATTTATTATATTAAGAATTTTTTAGAAAATTCATAATACTCTTAATGCAAATTTACATTTAATATAATAGTTAAATTGCCCTTTTTTTTTTTACTGCTATTAAATTTTCATTAATCAAATCTTAAAAACTGTTGAAAAACCTAATTGAAGGAGAACAAGGATCTTAAACATGTTGCCAATCTTTTTGAGTTAAGAGTCACCCTGTAACAAGTAAATCCATGTCTTTTGTCCTGAATCTTTAAAGAATTAAAAAATTGAACCTACAAAATTATTTTATCCAACTTGAGCACTCTTTAAAGCCCAACAATACATTGTTAAAGGGCCAAATTCTGCAAACAAAACCCAAGACTACACTCCATTGCGAACGGGCCGGCTCCAAAAGGTCCCTTTTTTTATTTCGGATACTGGCCCTGAAACCCAAATTTCAGTTATCTTCTTTAATACCCACCTTCCACGTTCTCTCTTCACTGCATTGATGGTCGTGGTCGTGCCTCCTTCAACTGCCAACAACAAATACATTCCAACCACGATCTTCCTCTAATTTCCTCCAGGAGAATTATATATTTCATCATCCAGTTGCGTCTAGAACTTGTAATTATTTTTGATTCTTTGCTTCTTAAAGTTTCTCAATTCGTTTCTTCAACTTCGCTATTTAGTGGATGTTACAGTGGAAAACTCATAACTATCAATAGTTTGAGAAAGGGTCGTAGTGGGACACGTGCTAGGATCATGCTCATGCAATTCGTATATAGAAAACAAAATCAACAAAACAAGGTAATGTTTCATTCACTCCCTCTTTCTGTTTTTTTTTTTTTTTTTTTTTTGGGGGTGGGGGGGGGCGCCAAATCCCCTCATTCTGTTGAATTCTAAAATATAATACACTGAATTGATGCTAACTTAAATTCTTCTTCTCGCTCCGCTTTATCTTCATCTTCTGTCAATTTTACTCTCTGCAGTTTTGGTGCACTTATTTCCTCAAAGAAAATCTTCATACTTGACAATCCTTCACAATCACCTCTTCTAAGGACCGGAATTCAAACTTGCATTTCATTGAGGAAAAGCTTGCAAGTGCAGGCAGATCACAGAGTTGCAAATACTTGAGTTCAGTAAAGGCAATTCCATCTTTCTTTCTCATCATCCTCCAAGCATGCAATAATTTCTTTTACCATTTCACAATTAGTTATACTCATTCTTGTGAGATGCACCAAGCTTTTAGCGGTTGTGTATCTCACTAAATTTACAAGTCCATGACATTTGGACACTTCAAGACTCTGTAGATTATTGAAAAATGCAATGGATAGCACTAAATTCATTAATTTTCTATACTCAAGCGTTTCTAGAGTTCTCAAGTTGTAGAAATTAAACTGGTTCTAGATCACATTCTTCCTTCCAAAGATGTCTTAGCTCATTAAGTTTAAAAAACTTTAATTCACTTATCCTAGTAGGTGCATCTGCAGGTCTTTCCTCACTACTAAGTCTTTTACATTGGAATATTTTATCAAAGGAAGCTTCGCTCACGACAAGCTTCTCAAGATTGGGAAGTGACTGGAAGAAGAAAGGAGGAGGAGCTAATAATTGCTCTTGAATGTGGGTGAGTTTAAGAACTTTTAGTTTGGGAAAATAGTCCCCTGGATATTGTCCATTCCATATGTCCTTTAGACGGTCATTCTTTTCAAGTTTCAGAACTGTACTTATCTGTGTTTTATTGAGCTGTGTTGTACAAAGTTTTCAAGAATACATGATGTATTTATCTATGTTTTATTAATAATCTCTCCTGCTCTCTTATTGTTGTTTAGGTGAGAAGGGGATGGTAGAAGAGACACAAAAAGCATTAGAAAAGGCTGAAGCACTCAAGAAGGTTTCGATTTTTTAATTTAATAGTGTTATTTTTGTAGATTGATTTTTATTAACTTGCACCATTTCCTTCTCCTTGGTATGCCTTATTTGTGGATAATTGTTTTTCCATATATGTTCAGCTCTTTACTAGACAGGAGCCCGTTCTGGATTCCTCAAAGTACACTGCTGTTGATGTTTGCACTGTGAGTTCTGTTTTTCTTTCTTTTAGTTTCACAGAAGGAAAGCTATGATAAAAGTAGATAAGAAAACTTAGACACACTTGGAACTTATTGGGAAAATATGAATTTGATTTGCATAATTAGTGCATGAATAGTCCCTTGTCATAATTTGATTTCAGTTTAATTTTCTTTTAGTTCATTTGTATCGTAATATTCTATCTGTTCTAATCTTTTTGATCCAATTTTGTTTCAGACTGATCAAAAGCTATGTGTTTGTGATATTTTGTGGAGCATTTTTGAGTGTTTATGGCAGGTACATTTTTAATCTTCTACTTCTTGATCATAGCCTTTTATCTTCTTTCTAGGGGCTTCAAAAAGTTAGTGTTTGGGGTTTCAAGTGCTTCAGCTTTGGACCTGGCTATTATACCTCCTTGTTACCAGTAGGCTTTTGGGTCCAGTTTTACGAGGATAACTCTTGTAGCTACATAATGTGCGTCTTTTTCTGTTTTTGTACTTGTAGATCATGCAATTGTTAGATAATAAATAGTTGGGAAACTGTATAAATCTATAATGCACACTACTGTAGTATATATATTTTTCTCTTTTTAGAAGTTTCTAGGTCAAAGTGATTTGATTTTTCTTGTTTCTTTCAGTGACCGACGTTTAGCAGCAGATCATTTTAGAGGCAAACTTCATTTAGGCTATATGCAAATCCTTGATAAATTAGCAGAACTTGAGGTAAGATGATTTACATGCTTAGTATATGCTGACTGTCTATGGTGGCTCTGCTTTAAGTGTTACATTAGGCTAGTGATAGTGCCAAGCATCCAAGATCTTGGTTGAAGAAATCGCCTGAACTATCCACTTACTATGTCTATTATTAATATTATTTTAAATAATCAGAACTTTATTTGAATGCTGTTACCTAATGGATTCTAGTACAACAGCAAATTAATACATTTTTCCAAATCCCCTTAAGTTTGTATTGTGAATATGTTGGTCAGGTGTTGGTATAGTGTTTCTCATTCTTCTATACAGATTCTCAGTCAGTATCATCTGTGACTTTTTCTGACCTTTGAGAAGAATAATTTCTCCCCTTTTCTATTTCTTTTGATTGTTTGTAGATGCTGAACTTTAAAACATGGTATTTTCTACCTTGTCTGTGCACATTGGGCTAATGCATCAAATATGAAATGTCTTGGTGCTCAACCAATTATGATAGATTAGGTTTTTTTGCTGAAAGAATGAAAGAAAAAGGAAACATGAAATCAAATAGAAGAGAAGTACAAGGAAGGAGTTTGTTGTAAATAATGTAAGAAAAAAAAAAAAACAAAGAAGAGCTTTTCATATGTTTAAAATCTGTGACAATAAATCTGATGAAAGCCTAGTTTGGTCAGGGTATGTTGCCTACTAATTATGCCTACCACCATTAGAATTCTTTCCAAATTGTCCTTATGGCACACTGTATTTAGCTAAATTGAAGTGGCATTTAGCTTTTTGAAAGAAGCATTCCGTAGTATTTGGTGATTATTGTTTTCTCAGGAATAGAGAAACAAGAGCTGCAAACTTGACCGGTATGATGACAGGAAGTAATCCTTGCGTGGTTTCTTTTCCTTTTTCCTTTTGGTAAACCATTGGGTGGTGAGGGGGGTGTTGTGATATCTATTTTATTGGTGGTGTATAGATCAAAAGAAAGAAGCAAAGATCCTGAGAGAGAATTAAGTCAGGACCAGACCGAGGGAATAGCCATGATCGAGGGAGGGATTATGATTGTAGAAGCAGAGATTGTGACAGGTATAGTGATCAAGATCATGATAGGGATTATGAGCACTCTTGGACTTATGATTCTAAAAGTTGCCACAGGTCACGTTCAAGGTCTAGGGAATGCTCCAGGGATCATGATCACCACAGGTACTTGTTTAACAATATCCCATGCTTGTTTAACAACATATTATTAGTTTTGTTTTGTGATCATTTTTTTAACTGATTAAATGTGGAATATAATATAATATTTTTTTCTATTATTGTGAAATGTGCCAACCTGAGTCTTTTACCATTCTTTTCAAATTTAAAGTTGAACTCTTGCTAGTATTTGAGTCGAAGAAGCTGAATATAAGATGAAAGCCAGGGATAGTTGCATCAAATATATTTGAGGATGTGAGCTATAAT